CACAGATGGCAAATGGCAGAGCAAGGATCCTAGCCGGGGAGTCTGGCTCCGGAAGGCACAGGTGAACCACGAGTCAGCACCACCCTGGCTGCTCTGCCCCTTCCCACTCCCCTCCCTCCTGGATCCCAGACTGGACCAAGGCCTGGAAGACAGGAGCACACACTGGTCCTGTTCCCCAGGCCTCCTCCTTTGCCACTGCCCCCCCCATAATAGCGTTTTTAGCCCCAAGCAAGACTGGGTAGTTGTTAAATGCTGACTGAATTGAATTAAATTAAACATGTCAAAAAATAGTCCCTTTCCCAGACCAGTCTTCATCATCATTATCATCACTCCAGGCAAATATTGCCTGAGGCATCTACACTATGCTAGGTTCTGGGAAAATCCATACATGCATAAATCCTGGCAGATCTAGAGAGATCTTCTAGACCGTACAGTTGCACACCTGTAATCACATTCCAGCCAGTAAGGGTCGGCACTTAGGATGGTGGACTCAGAGCTGAAAAACTCCTCTGTCCTAGTGACACCAAAGCCCTGCAACATTACAGGATAATGCATCACTCAAGCATAACAAACCTACCGTGCTGCTGTACTATACAAGCATAGCACAAGTAGGTGTGGTAGTGCATTTGTAATCTCAGGTGCTCGGGAGGCTGAGGCAGGAGGATTGCAAGTTCCAGCTCAGCCTGGACAACTTAATGACACTGTCCCAGAATAAAAACCAAAAAGGGCTGGCAGCAGGATCATCACACTCATGTTTACGGTGTTTCTTGAAAGCATCACAAGGCACATCCATTAATGAACCGTGATCCTCTGGGTCTGTACACCCCACAGTGTTCGCATGACAAAATCAGCCGGGGGCACAGTTTGCAGAACGTGACCCTCCACTAAGGGAGATGTGCACATACTCCAGGGGAGGGAGGAAGGGTAGCCCCGGAAACTCTGCAGAACTTCCAGCTCCCCTCCCACCCCACACACACCGATGTACACTCACGAGACAGCCTCTGCTCAGATAAGCTGCCTCAGCAAGAGGTTTTATTTAGCAATTACAGGGCTCTTTATTGCATAGCAATTATCAACGCAAAGAGGGAGAGAGCTCAACCCGCCCATCTCCCTTATCTGGAGGCGCTGGCTGAGCACCTGTCAGAACCAGGGCCAGATGGCTGCCTTTCAGGTCTAACATCTCCTTGGCCCTGGAGATGGGCTGGCCTAGGGCGGGACATGGCGACTGCAGACAGAACCGGAGTGGGCGCCCTCCTCAGACAAAAGGAAGTGCGGTGTGGATCTCAGAAGCTCCCCTAAAAGCTAGGGATCCTCTTTTACCCCACTGACCCTTGGAAGAGGGGCTTGCCCTGCCCAATAGACCAGGAATCTTGTCCAGCCAGGGTGAGAAGCATTTTGCCCTTGGAGCTCCTCAGAGAAGGGGCACCAGTACTCCAGATAGGGCTGAGAGCCACCACGGCAGAAGGAACAGTGCATATCACTGCAGGGTCTACAGGACACCTGCTACCCCTCACGTCCCCAGCAATCACTCCACGGCAATCCAGGGAGGCCTCCGGGGCCAGTGTTCTGCCCCTGTTTTTCAGATGGGTCACAGTGAGATGAAGTTACCAATTAGTTAACGACACATATTAGGACGGACCATCCAAAATTGCCAGGTAAAATGGGAAAACACAGGTCTCCTCCTTTGGATTTCAGAGGGAAAAGAGAAGACTCAGCCTGTGCCTTGAACCTGGCAGAGCCCCAGAAGTCAGAGCCAGTCCCTGCGAGTCAGGAACACACAGGGCCCCAAAACTTGAGCCTCTCTCCACCCCTCCATCTTGGGGGAGAGGAATAGCCCGACTTAGGCTTCCTTCACCTCTCATTCCTCTTTGTCCTTGAGGACCAACACACCAGCTGGCCAGCTCAACAAACTCTCAAATGACCCCCGGAGGAGGGATGCGATACCTCTCGGCTGTCCTGCCAGGCTGGGGGTCGGGGGGGGCACCGTGTCTTCTCCCCGGGGAGGTGACATCTCTTTTCAGGGCCCCAGGCAACCCCTAAGCCAAGGTCCTTCACAGCCATCTCTGCCCTGAACCTTGTCCCAAGCACCAGGCCCTTCTCCAAAGTCTCCCGAGTCTGCAGGACATCTGTACGTAGCCTCCTTGCCTCACAGCAAGCTACAAGCCTAGAACCAAGAGTTGTTCTATTCCTCGGATGGCCCCGCTTCCCTCCTTTTCCAAGCTCTAAACCTTACATTATGTTCACATCCTTTCCACTTCTTCTGCCCAGCCTACCATGTACATCTCAGGTGAATATCACTGCGTTCTACAAAGGGTCAAAGTGATCCACAAAGAGAGTACTGTGGTTCACTCCATGGGCAAATCAGAGAGGCCCAGCACACTGAGACAGGAAGTCTCTTCCCCTCTTCTGTCTGTAGCTCTGATTCTAGACGTGGGCTCCGCAATCCTTACCACCCTGCACGCGGCACAACGCCTAACCTTCAGGGTGTGCTCAGAAGCTCACTCTACACCAGGTAAGGGAAGTTCGGGCTGTTAATACCAGCCTGCCTTCTAGTATTCTCCAACCCCGAGAACAAAACCAGAAATCAAATAGAAGGGCCAGTATTTTGTTTGGAAGCGCCTTCACTCTGGCTGGCTGCTTTCCGTCTGAGAGCTTGTCTGTTGGTTTTCCATTTGTAGACCAGTCTGACTGCATCCAACCACCTAACCTCATGGCCTGACAGCTCCTGACAAACCCGCTCTGATATGGACACAGAGATCTTGGTCCAGAGCAGCTGATTCAGACAGCAGGGCCCAGCTCTCATTGTCCACCAGAGTATGCAAGTGGCACGAATACAGGGTGAGAATTGCGAGCCCTTTGTGATGCCTCTCTTCTCACCAGTGCTAAAACCTCCAGAGAGGGAACAAAGTCCAGCTTGACCTAAGTAGAAATGGAGTTTCAACTGCAAATCCTCCTGAGGGCTAGGCATACAGCTCAGTGGCGGAGCACCTGCCTAGCAGGTACATGGCCCTAGGTTCCAACCCCAGCACCTTACAAATTACACCTGAGAGAACCGTGGATTTAAATTCATATCAAAGTGTAAATGACTGCTAGCAAGTGTTTTCCTGAGAGCTAGTTAGTGAGGAAACTCCTTACAGAGAAGAGAAGGGGCCTCCAGAGTCCCAGTGCTCAAGATGCTTTGGTGGACAAAGTGTGAAGCTGGGAGACCTAATCCTAGCTCTGCCTGTAATTTAGGTCGATATGGCAAAGTGGGCTCAGTGGCGCATGCCTGTAATCCCAGACACTCGAGAGGCTGAGGCAGGAGGGTTTTGAGTTCTAGCTCAGCCTGGACAACTGAGATCCTGTCTCAAAACTAGCCTTCCAAAAAGGGCTGGAGTAGTACAGCGCTTCCCTTAGACATGCAAAGCATATACCAAATAATGATTTATCTGGTGATTTCTTTAAGTCATCCTGGCTACTTCTTCGAACCTAATTTACAAAGCTATGAAGTGGGAAAATTCAACTAAATGGTCTCTGGAATCCTTTTAAGATACCGCAAACTGTGATTCAATGATTTCAAACTTGCATGTGGTAAGCTTGGTTTTCTTAACCTACCACTGGGCACGTAACAAAGATTTATCATGAGTGTGCCTAAAACTTCCCATTGTTCAGAGCATGAGTCAAACAAGCCTTCCACATAGACTTAGAGATCAAGGTCATCACAGTCTCAAAGAAGAGAAAACTGGAGAATGAATGGCTTCCTGAGGGGACACACCCTGAGAAACGTCACGAGGCGGCCTCCTCTCTGTGTGAACATCGCTAGGCGCGCACCAACTGCCCGGCTCTGACGTCTCAGGGAGAATAAGCTTGCGGCACCCTCGTGGTGTACGCTAAAATGTGCGGCGATCCAGCGACAGCAAGAATTGAGGCTCCCTCCGACAGGAGAGGAAGCCCCATGGAGGTCAAGAGAAGTCACAGTAATCCCTCAGATGTGCACGGTGATCTATCCCCAGCCGTCCTATTTCCTACCAGTTGTCTCATTTGATCCCCTTTAAACTGTGTGAAGAAAACAGGGCAAGAATGATCTCCCTCCACTTCAGTACCTGAGTCTCAGTGGGAGGAGGGGCAGGCAGGACTCCAAATTAGATCAAGTGACTCCTCATGTTCTGGAGCCCGCACCACTCCACTGCCACCTCCCTTTCATTTTCCACCTCCGGTTCCAGGTCCAAAAGTGAACCAGCAAAAGCTGAAGGAGATGAGTCCAGAGGGAAGAGGGAGAGGCCCTGATAGCTGCGCCTCCTGCCTCCAGCCCACTACAGGGAGCAGGACCCGCAGCCCCATCCCTGCTCTTCACCCTGTCCCCGCAGCTCCTTCCCCAGGACCCTGGCCGCAGCCGGAGCTCCTCACCGTCCCTCACCCTCAGGGAGCTCTGCTCAGCCAGGGCAAGGCTGACTCTGGGGCTTCTGCTCAAGACTAAGCAGTCAGGCAGAGGTGCGGACAGCCCCAACCAGGAAAGGGACAGAGGGGGGAGAGAGGGGACGGGAGGAGAGAAGGCAGAGCCAGACAGGAGGAAGGGACGGAGGGAAAAAGGGAGAGAGAGAGAGAGAGTAGAAAGGGGGAAGGAAAACAAGGGAGAGAAAGCCACGTTAATAATAGGGTAATTGCCCTAAACAGGATTACAATCTGCCAGCATTTCACTAAACTTTATGACACCTGATGACAAGTTAATAAGCCAGCTATCTCACCGTGTGTGTGCGTTCAACAGATGCCCCAGCCTCCTTGAGCAGGGAGGAAGGTAATCCTCAACCAAGCCGCATGCACGCACGCAAAACCAGAAAGGTGTGGGGGAAGGGAGCCAAGAAAGTGGGGAAACTGGTTATTTCTCTACTCAAAGTGGCCCCAGCAATAAATCACCATTAATAATACTGTCACCTATCAAAGAGGAGCTCTGGTTGCCAAGGCCTTTGAAGTAGCAGCACCTATAATCTCCCACCTACAAAAGGTGCTTTTGCGCATATGTCATGCTGGAAGCTGACAGGAGCGACGCCCACGTTCCAACCTCCCCATGCCCGTCGTCCAACAGCGGACCTACAGTGCACATGCGCACTGCCCACTCCGGCCCGGCCCCTAGCCTCCCGGTACGCGTGCGCGCTACACCTTCGGCCTCGCCAGAAGCACATGCGCACTACTTGCTCAGCCCTGTATTCCTGGCCAGGTCTGGCTCTATTCCAGCCGGGAAGGCCAGGGTCTGCCCACTCTCGGTTCGAGAACTGACAGGAAGGGCCAGGAATGACACCTTGCAGCTCTGACTCGGTGTAAGCCCCTAAGAAGGAGGGTCTGGGCTCCTCTCAAAGGGCAGGCTCTGTCACAGGCAAAACTAGGTGGTCGTGAAACTTGAATGTTTAAAAAAAAACATAAAAACCTTTAATAAAATTTTATAAAAAGAAACTTGAGGGCCGGGGATTTAGGTCAGTGGTTTTGCCACCTGCCTCACAAGTGCAAAGACCTGAGTTCGATCCTCAGCACAAAAGGGGGGGGGGGGGGGGGGGGGGAAGAAGAAGAAACTTGAATGTTTATCAGGCTCCCTAGGAAGTGAGTTTGATTTGCCCACATACAAAAATCTGAGAAGGTCTGGTCCTGGGCCCCTGCCCCTGTGCTGGACCAGGAATCCAGGAACCATGGAAAGGCAGCTCACCCTAACAGGTGGCAGAAGGAAGGAGACATAGAGCCTGAGCCTGTATCTGTTGGCTGCAGCTGCTGCAACAGTGAGCACAGACTGGGGGGTAGGGGGTGGAGCTTAACATCAGGTGTTTATTTTCCCGCAGATTTGCAGGCTGGAAGTCCAAAATCAAGGTGTCAGCAGGGTCGATCCCCTCTGAGACCCCTGTCCTCGGTTTGTAGATGGCCCTCCCAGGTTTCCCCACGGCCTTCCTTCTGTGTGTCTAGATCCTGTTCCCCTCTTCTTAGAAAAACTCTAGTCAAATTGGACCAGACCCAAGCTAAGCACCTCTGCTTACCTTAATTGTTTCTTTAAAGACCTCCAAATACAGTCACATTCTAAGGTACTGGGGCTTAGGACTTCATAGAAATTGATGAGAGGGGTCAGCCCATAAAAAGCCTTAAGGCTCAGCCTAGGCTGAGCCCTAGTCAGATGGAACAAAGGCCCTAAAAGCCATCAAACTGCTGGCAACAAGTGCAACTCTCCTTTCCTGAAACCTGGACTAAAGCTTCTGGATAGTCGCACCCAGTCCCCTAATCCCCTGCTGTACCAGGAGGGAGGGTTTCTTTTTAAGAGGACCTGGCAAGTCCACATCCTGTCCAAGAAGGGAGGCCCTTCCTTGATTCTGTCTCCAACTAAGGGCCTTTTGAGTGTGCCTTGGACTGAGAATCCAAATCTGATGGTTTCTTCAGCACATACTATGTCCCCAGTGCTGTTCTAAGAAGTGGTATCATTTCATCTGAATTGCTATGAGGTACAAATGAGGAAACTGTTGGGTAATGTGCTCGAGTGAGGGAGCCAGTCCTCCTAACTCCAAACTTATGTCTTCATCGCCTACCCTTTCCTCCCTCTCTCTGTCTGCACAGAAAGGTACTAAAAGAACACAGTGGGCCCTGCCATCAGCACTGAGTCAGAACCTGCTGAGATGCTGGGACTTAAGAACTAGGCTTTTATCATTTTATAGGGAATTTAGAGCTCCTTTTATCTGCAGGGCATTGTTCCAAAATCCTGGTCATATACTGTTACATGTTTTATTTAAGCACGTGCATGAGTCCGTGGGCAGCAGCGCTCACATGCATTAGTGTATGAATCGGCGCATGCATGAGTTCCTAGGGTCCCTCTCCCAGGATGGCTTCCCCTGCCACCATTAATCCCTGTCCCTCCAGGGGTTTCATTTCTTGATGAGTCAGTGCAGGGTTAGGCTAAGCTATTTCTACATCCTCTTCCTTCCCTGGCTAAAGAGGGGTGATGTTGAGAGTTTGTATTTCCCCATCCCATCCTCAGAAGCTAAAAACTCAGCCCCAAAGCCTCTGGGACTTCAGGCTCACAAAGGAGCTGCTAACGCCCCTGCTGCTTCATCCTTCCTTCCTTCCTTCCAAGGGTCTGTCAGGGGTTCCCTGGGCAGACAGCCACCAGCTCCCCAATGGCCATCTGCTCCCTGAACCCTCTGCCTTCGCTTTACTTTCCCTACCATCCTGGGCTTGTTTTGGGAGGCGAGAGTCACACTGTACTTGAGACGTTGACAAAACCCCACGGGCCTTGACCCTATGGACCCCTGAAAACGGTGGGGGAGTTCTAAGGTTTAGGGGCCCTTTCTTGTCGTCTTCAGTGTCCTCTCAATGATTCTCATGGCCTGGACGCTACGTTATGGATTGGGATTCAGGAGAATGGTTTCAAGGTGTGGCTTTCCCAGTCACCTCCAGTTGCATTCCCGTGAGTAAGCCCTTCACCTTTGCAGGCCTCATTTTCTCCTGTGAAATGGGGGCGGGGGCTGGTGAAGGATTCCTGAGTACCTGAGTGTGCTTCAGGCTCTGAGATTGCCCTCTCCACCTCTCTACCCACAAACCACTGCACATCCACCCAGGAGAGGCACACACCCCTCACACACTCCGTGCCTTCTGCACTCCCCTCGCCTCTCACAGCCCAGCTTTCTCTCCCTACCATACATCTCCGGGGCCCCCAGAACAGCTCCTAGGGATGGACTGGCCCAGCTGGGCTCCTGGGAGGACAGTTTCTTGGCAGAGATGGGAGTGGGTGCGGTGGTGGAGTAATTTTTTTTTCCTTTGAGGCCCAAAGGCTGTCAACCCTTTTCAGCTGCCCTGAGGCCTGACAGCCACGGAGAGAGATTTACGACCTGGGCAGCTTTGATCCCAGCTTGATAAACATCAGGAGCAGCTGAGCCCTGAGGAGAAGGTTTATGGGTCGGAATGCAGCCTCCTGAAGAAAAGGAGCCCAGGCTGGGCCCTGAAAGTGCTTATCCAGCAGAATCACTGTGAGCCACCCTTGCCCTGAGGGGAGAGAGACTGGGCCTCTGAAACCAAAAGCCACCTACTAGAGAGATCTGAGGGTCCCTGTCCTAGTCAAACCTGGGAAGGTGGGAAGGAGTGCAGACCTGCCCAGGCCTCTGAAACGCCCTCACCCTGGCTCACCTGTTCTTCCAAACATCATTACCCATTGTCCTCTCACTAGGCTAAAATAGATCAGAGAGGAAAAAGGAGCCAGATAGGATCTGTGCTGAGAGGGACAGTCACCCAGCAGCCCCTGGGCTTTGTTGTCAAGTTCTTGTTGTGATAGTGTTGTTCCAGTGATGACAAGGTGCTTAATTGCTTGCTTGTAGGTCATCCCTGCCTCCTTCTGGAAAGGACAGAAAGCCAGCAGAGTCTCCATGTGGTCACAAAGCCCGCATGGCTCTTCCCCTTGCCCTCAACTGCCCTCCCCATAGCAGGGAAAACATGTCTTTGTGGAAGTCTCCAGTCTTGCTGATTGAAAAAGACCTGAAAGCAAAACTATAGCTAAGATCAAGGAGGAGCAACGTAGCTTCACGTGGACACTGCTTCAGACTGCTCGGTGTCTCAGCCACCTCCACAAAACTCCTCCACACCACAGAGCTGCTCTTGTCCTGTGGAGCTGCACAAGACACTTGTCAAACCCAAACATGCAGGTTTCTGCCCTCTGGGGTCCAGAAAATGATATAGATCACAGGAGACACACATCTAAAGAGATGCCTGATAAACTCGCAGCTATTCATCGTGCCTAACCAGCTGGGCTGGGTCCCGCGCATGCAGGAATAAATACATATTTGCTGAACACCAAATTGGGTCTAATGACCCTGGCCTGTCTCACAGGGTCATCTTGAGAAATCGCTGATGTCAGAGGATGATCGTGAGCAGCTGTTCTCCATTTGCACTCAACAAGAGAAAAGGGCCTTAAATTACAGCGGGAGGGATTAAGGTTAAACATTAAGAACAGCTTCCTGGCTAGGAGGCTTGTGAAACACTGTAATGTGTTACCAAGGGATTGCTGGAGACATTCCTTTTTCAATGAGACTTTAAAGAGGAAGGAGGTTGGGGATCTGCCCAGGAGGTTTTATTAAGAACTTTATTAGGTCATCCGGTCCATCCCCCTGAAGGCCCGGGCTTGGACAACACACCCACCCACAAGGCCTTTCGGAGCACAGGATGAACGCTACAATTCCTACCACCAAAAATGCTGGCAGACTCCCCAGACCTTACAGAAAGGGAATCCAGAGGCTCCAGCATGGCCACCCTTTGGCAGACTTTTAAGCTTTTGCTGTCAGCAGTTGACTGTTACACGAAGAGTTGGAAATGCGATGCCCAAGCCCTCTGAAATCTCCTACCCCTCTGGAGAATCCATCCTCTCACTCATCACCTGGATGACAGCCCCGTCTGTCACCATACCCTCAGGTTACAAGGGACACCTGCAGTTAGTACCACACACATGTTGTTAAACAAAGGTAAACGCTTATACCTCCCAGTTTTAAAGTCACAGACCAGGAATCCAGTCATGGGCTGAGGAACCTTAAGGTTACCCAGAGCCACCTTCTCTCAATACAAGAGTCCTTATCACCACAGCCCCTGAAGGTGAGCTTGCAGTCTCCGGAAAACATGGAAGTGCAGGGAGCTCACTACCTGACAGGTAGGTTCTCTCTGTATTAAATAAATTTGATTTTTTTTTTTACCCTGAGCAAAAAGAAGCCAGCATGGCCTGAGCCATGGGCCCTACGCCCCAGAGCCTGCTCCCTTCCCAGGACAGCAGAGCCCCCTAACCCTTCACACCCCCACTCTGGACGTCCACAGCTGTGCAGCATGACTCATGGGCAGTGCCGGGCTGGCAGATAAAGCAGACCAGCCTGGCATTCTCCATGCACCACACCTTCCCTCAGAGCCACCAGGCCAGCGAACCAGCACGCTTGCCCGTGTTGACAGCTCCCAGCGAGCAGCTCAGCCAGGCTGGGTGCAGAGCCAAGTACAAGAGGCCCAGGGACTCAGGAGAGTGTGAGCACCCAGCAAAGCCTCCAGCTCACAGCCAAAGGCGAAGTCCACCTTAACAGGCAGAAACACACAGGGGAGCTAAGAGGCTCAGTCCCTTCCAAGGGTACAAGCTTTTGGGTTATGCGTGGCTCTGTCCTCCATTCATTTATTCAGTGTCAGACTGATGGGAAAACTCAGACAGCCTGCAATGCTTCGGCGTGAATGAAACGAGTCCTTTTGGGGTGCGAGGAGGGTAGGGGTTGGGAAGGGGTGCCGTGAGACAGGATTCCCAGGCAAGACTGGCATTGTACAAATCCCTCTCCTCTCACCTTATCCAGAAGGATCAAAAAGGAGAAAACAAATAGCCTTCTATTTTATAGCTACCACTTGCCAGGCACGGCTCCTAACAGGAGAGCTAACAGGAAGCAGAGGCAGACACCAAACTCAGTTCTGGTTTAGTATCAAGTCCTTTGATTGTAGGACCAGGCCACATTGCTGCCTGGGTACTACCCAGCGGCAGAGAGCATCAGGCGGGAGCATGCCTCTCTGTGTGTATCTCTTGCTCTCTCACTCACACACGCATGCGTGCACGCACACTTACACATGTACGTCCATAGGCTCACAGAGCCTAGCCAGGACCCAGAGAGCACAGCAGGCTGAAGCAGGACAACTGAGCACCAAGGCCCTAGACTCTGGACCGAGCTGGCTCAAAGCCTGGCTCAGCCTGTCACTAGCTTGGGTTCCTCTCTGAGCTTCACTTTCCTCCTCTGCAAAATGAGGATAACAGCACCTTGATTCTGGGACCTGATGAAGGAGGTGACTCTTTGTTAAGCCCTTAGGACAGTGAGCAAGTATGTCACTGACAGAGAGGAGAAACAGAGAGCCCGTGAGAGGCCAGGCTTGGGATTATCTGAGTCCTCGTCTCAGAACAGGGAGAGCCCTTCTAAGATGAAGCCTGCCAGTTTCTCCAAACCAAACATCTTGGGAAGGAGAAGCAAGGTAAGTGCTCCCAGGTCCCCAAGACTGACAGTCAAGGACCTCAGGGGACCCAGGGCTTCTTCCCAAATGTTTTAGAGAGGTTGAGGTGAAGGCTTCCTGCTCAGTGTCCTGTAAATGGCCCCTTCCAAGGTGAACAGGAGCACAGGACATCCCCAGTACAAGTGGAAAGAGGCCACATGTTCTTCTTGTCCCCTATCTGTCACCAGGAGGCAGGGTGAGGAGGGAAGAGGGGAAAATATCTCTGTGGCTACAAGGAAGAAGCAACAAGGTCCTGGGGAAACTGTCCCACAAGGATATGGCTTACGCACGCTCCCCATGACCATGGTCCCTTGATTTCCACTCTATCAGATGCCATTTTTGTATCAGAGTAGGAAAAGCAACTTTGCAATTGGGCCCTTTTCTTGCTCAATTGTTAGGCTGGAAAGTGAAAGATCTCGCTAGTACTTAGCAAGTGGTAGATTTTCTTTTGCTAGACATTTAGGAACCCACTGATTTATTAGCAAACATCTGGATTCCTGATTTTTCAGCGCACTGTGGCAGGGACTGACAATTCACATGCTTAGTGGAGCCCAACTCAGCCAGCATGTGCTGGGCACCTGCCATGAATTAAATGTAGCCCCTACTAGCTTGTTTTCTAGTTAAAGAGACAGAGAGTAAACAAATAATTCCAACAGAAGGGAGACATGGTCATTGGTAGATGAGAGACTAACAGAATGCCACAGAAGCCCAGGAAGAGGGAATGTGGCCAGAAGGCTAAGAACACGTGTTTGCTTTCTAGAAAGTGGTCTGGAATATTCATCAAAGCCTTAAAAAATGTTCACAACCTTTGACCCAGAAATTCCACTTCTAAGGAGCTATTTTGAGGACATAATCACAGGCATGCATGAAGATTTATGTGCAAAGACATATTTATGTTGCGCATAATAGAAAAACACGAGGGAACAAAACACATTATAATAAGCATGTTTTATGTGAGGCGGTATGAAGGGGAAAGTATTTCAAGCAGAGGGAAGAGAATATGCAGAAATGTTGTGGCAAAAGGGAGCTCAACAGCTTCAAGAACTCAAAGAAGCCAGAGAGGAAGAGACAGGAGGATGGAGCCCAAACCATGTGGCTGCAGGTCAAGTTCTGGTGTCCACCCAAGCGCCATGGACAGGAAGCCTGTGCCAAATTTCCATGGGTGGCATGTTCAGGTCTGCGTTTCAAAGGAGCACCATGGCTGCAGCGTGAAGATCACACTCTGTATACCAGGCACCTGTCTACGTGTGTTACTTGTACTGCTTATTTAATCTTCCCTACCTGGTGATAGGGAGCCGAGACTCCAAGAAGTGAGGTCAATTCCCCAAGTTTGCAAATTAGTAAGAGGTAAAGCAAGGCAGTTCATCCGCCTGAAGAACTGAACCACTGTGCTCCCAGTGAGGAGGTGCGTAATGTGGACTGTGCGGGCCGGTTAGCAACCATGGCCAGGGTTCGGGGGCAAGAGGATGGAAGTTTAGAGAGAAGTGGACTGTGATAGATGAGGGGAGGCTGGGCAGGGAGGTCAATAAGGAATGGATGCGGCAGAGGGGGAGGAAAGGGTGAGGGTAACACAGGCCTCTGGCTTGCATTTCTCTGGCTTGGAGAAAAGTAGGAAATCATTAAATACATACACACACGCCGTTACAGACAAATGCCACATTGATGTCATAATGTGCCTCTAAAGGCAGAGAGAGGAAGGGAATGAAGAGAACCACAATACAATAAAACCAGGGGCTATCTTGGCATGGTAGGATGATGAGTTATTTCTATTTCTTCCTCATCCGTGTATATACTTTCTAAATTTCCTACAATAGCTGTACATTATTTCCATGACCAAAGGGGGATTAGTGATGTCTCCAGGTGTGCACCTCCGTGCAGTGTGGGCACAGTGCCATCCCAGCCGTGTTGAGCACAGTCTCTCCACCCTTGCCCAGGCTGTCTACAGGCACATTCACCTCATCGAGTACATCACATTGGGGTCCCTCCAAGGGCCCAGGCTCAGCCCAGTTTGTTCTCCCAGGGCTACCGAAGCCTGAGGCCAGCCAGATGCCTCTTTGTGCCAGAGGATAGATGTCTGAAGTAGAATCCTGAACAGGAACCGCAGACCTCTCTCTAAGAGTCCTGGGCTTCCGTTAGTGGAGCCAGCAACAGGCCAGCAGGACCTAGAACCGGGCACGCGTTGGATGAATGACAAATGAACCCTCAGCAGCCCCTCAGTGGGAGGCCATGGGGCCTCTCCCTGAACCCTATCACCAAATGATGTTGGGCTTCCCTTCCAGGTGGGACCCCAGGCCTGCTGGGCCATGCAGAGCCAGGGTACCTTGCTGGTGAGCTGGGTGGGAGGAAGTAACAGGCCACTTCTCCAGCTCCATCCCCTAGAGAACAAGGTGAGGTCCAGAGCCAGCGTCTCAGTGGAGACTCAAAGAGGGCAGGAGAGTCCTAGACTCCGGTGAGCAGTGGGAGCCCAGGGCCTTGGCCCGGGTATGCAACTGTTCTGCAGGAGGTGCTGAGTAGCAGGTGTTCAGAGCCAGATGATGTTTGTCTGCCTAGAAGGAGCTGCTGCGGGACAACAGCCACTGTGGGCCCAGTTGAAGGGCTCCCTCTCACTTCTAGACAGAGGGCTAACCACTCAGACCTTAGCACAAATGCACGCTCTGTTGTGTGTTTGAAATGGCACTCGTGGCAAGCCGGTGACAGGGCTTTGGGAAGTCACACAAAAGGGAGCCCGGTGTGGCCACAGTAGATTCACACAATGAAGGATGTCTCTGTGGGGTTTGTTGCTGTGTGATGCCTTCCCACTGCCCGTCCCCAAGACCAAAGGACGAGTACTCACACAACACATACATAGGTGGCCATATTTACATTCGCAAACTCACAAGCAGAGTAATAATCACATAAAACATGCATACAATCTGTTCACACGCAAACACCCTCAGAATCACACTTCAGCAATCACCACAACTTAGGCAATTTGTGATTTCCCTGTGCCTTATCCCATGTGATCATCAAAATTACAGACTAAGGATTACTGCTCACTCCTTACAGGCAATAACATTGAGCTCAGAGTGGCTGAGCATCTTGCAAAGACACGTACTCAAAAGAAATCCAGCTCCTAATCTGATGCTCGGCCATACAGTCTCTCGCGACCCATGAGCACTTGTTTCTCCTGAATCGAAAATTGAGGTTTTCGAGCTTCCGAAGGAACTCTCATGATCAAGCCATCAGGTGAGGGGAGCTGCACATGAAGACCCTGTAGTCCAGTAAAGAAGGGCTCTTCCACTGTTCAGCAGGCACACACAGCCGCCTGACTTAGTCTGCTTGATCCCTGGCCTTTGTTGGACGGAAATCAGAGCTACGGTGCCCCTGGGGACCTGCAGGCCTCCTAAGGCTCTGCTCCAAACAGCAGCACCCCTGGTGCTGCCTGTAGGACCTGGTTGCCTTCTTCGGTTCCCAAGGCAGCAGCAGGAGCTGTCCAGACTTGTCTAAGTGCTGTCCCCGACACAGGAGGCCAGGGGTCACTGCTGACATTCTTCTGCGAGAAGGGAAGAACAGACTCCAGGAACAACGAGAGGAGTCCAACATTAAACTCTCTCCCAGCCCTAGGCACTTATTTCCAAAGCTAGCTCTGACCAGGGGCCGCTTGGCCCTCCCCTGAGGCCACCTGCCAGCCCTCAAGTGTCATCTTCACTTTGGGGAGCTCAGCAGCTCCAAGATGCTGACCTTCCGGCCAGGGCCACAACAAACACCTGTCACAGGCATGAGTGCTAATGACAGGCCCGAGTGAGGGGCACTGGGGTTAGCAACCTGCCCTTTGGAGGTCACTGGTACCCAGTTGAGCCTTGGGGAGGTGCGGGAGGGACAGAGCCCACCACCATTCAAGCTAACCAGGTGGCCCTGCCTTTTGTGTTGAAGCTCTCCCTAGCCACCCATATAATTGAAGTAACCCAAGGGATTTTCTTGCCCTCAGCCCAGTGCAGAAGGAAGAAGAGGAAGAAAAGTTTGCCTTA